AACACAAATCTAAGACAATACCCATGGTCTTGGTTTAGTACTCTATCTATGGATAAAAACCAGATGAAAGATCTCAAGGAGTTGATTATGAAGTTTATGATTTGGCTATGAACTAATGAAACATCAGCAACTATGAAGATAGACAATTATGACTAGATGTCCACGCTAACTTATCCACTAGACCGAAGTCGTAATTTTTAATACATGAAATCTCAAAGAGTTTCTTATTATGACCATACATGATCATCCACAACATATGACCATATCATTTTATCCACATATAACAATCCACATTATAACATCCACTACATTCATATACTAGCGTCCACAGTGGCGGACAGACAAAAAAATTACCAAGTTCAAAAAAAAAAGTATTATAAAGGTGTTAAAGGAGGTTTGAACCTTGGTTTGGAGAGGTCAATATGCTACATTTGCCGAATATGCTGGTGGATCCTTTAAACTTTTACATAATTTTTTTTTTATATCATGATTTATGGCAGGTCATGTGACCCACCTTTTCTCTTAGTGGGTTTGCCACTGAGCGTCCACACAATAGTATCATTCATATAATCATTTCAATGTTCACTAGAAAGACTTAAATTACTTACATTGATCTTTAAAAAGTGCTTGAACTGAGACGAAATCACAATTTTTTTGTTGTAATATAACCATAAGAATTTAACACAGACTTTGATTAAAGACTAATTAGATCTTCTCGTCCTCTTTTCGTGCCAAACTAGATCTCTGAAGAGAATCGACAATCTTCACAGCCGATTCTTTTATGGGATCCATGCACACATCTCTTCTCGTCCTCAAATTCAACGTCCGAGCTGTCGCCACTACTTTACCTGTTTCTCAATCCTCCTTCCAAAACTCCAAAATCGACAACAAAGACTTTTGTACGAGTGTGTATGGACCAAAAACAATCGAATCAAATCTCTCTGTTCTATATCTCGCAACAGAAACCAACCAATGATTTTGTAAGACTTTTTTGGTTATAAAGTTCTGATATTTGCAAAGATTATGGTCGGAGCATCGAGATCCATATCCAGAAAATTAGGTTTGAGAGTCGTCAAGAACTTTGGCCAGAATATCGGGAATAAAGATATG